ATATTAAGCACATAAAATAATTTCAAAGTTTGTACGATAATTGAAATGAACTGATGCGAGAGGGAGAGGGGGAAAGTAAAGATATGAAATTTCCAGTGGATTTTGCGAATGAAATGAAGAATTACCGTGATGAATGTGTCACTGTCAAGCAAGAGGTGTTGATACTATATGTCTCTACACCTCTAAAAACCCCCGCTTGTTTTGGTTTTGTCGATCGAGAACTCAAAACCCTAAACCCCATCGAAATTGGGAAGCCTTTAATCTCAGTCGTGATTCATCATTATTTCCTCTTTTTGAGATGGCTCTTCACAATCATCTTCTCAGTTTACTTCCACGAAATGTATCATGACAGCTTCAACACTCCGGTTTAGTGGTATTAGATTTTAATACAGTCTCACGTGTCTTTGGTCGAGATGTTGCGCAGCGGTTACTGTTTTATATGGGGACATGTACCAGAGGTACAAAGTGTTCTCGAGTCACAACTCTACTTATCTCTTCTGAGAGAGTCAATTTGTTAGATAAAAGTTGCGTATGTTCTTCACACAAATCCTTCGATTATTGAATCCTTCTCTTTCGTTACAAATCTACTTATCTCTTCTGAGAGAGTCAATTTGTTAGATAAAAGTTGCGTMTGTTCTTCACACAAATCCTTCGATTATTGAATCCTTCTCTTTCGTYACAACTCTACTTATCTCTTCTACTTTTCTTTCTGATTTTTCTCTCAAATCGTGAAAACACTAGCTCTTAAATCGATTTGGGGATTTTTATTTACAAAATGTTGCACATTTTTAATTAATTTTAATTGCAAACAGAGACACGTTTTTATTAAGAAAACGAAGTTAACTATTCCGTTAGACGGAGTTAACTGTTTCGTCCCGTAAAATATCGTCGGGTCTAAAATTCGTATTTTGGTGGTTTAATATGTTAACATTGTTACCTTAGAAGTTTAAAATGCTAAATTTTGGAAGTTTAAAGTACTGGTCTTTGGAAGTTTTTTTATGCCATTTTTTTTTCCTTAAAATAAATGTTGTGGTTAAACAGTTACAACTTAGTTTACAAGGTCGATACATTTTAAACAAAAACAAGAAAAGCGAGCTGTGGGTCCCCATCAAATCTCAGTAAGAAGCCCATTGGGCCGTTTAAAAGTAATATTTGGGAAACGGGTTATACTGTATGGGTCGGGTTATTTGGGAAACGACCCGGTTCAATTAGATGAATTATAAGAGCATCCGTATTGGTGAATTTTGGTGGGTATCATTAAATATAAAATTWWWAAAATTTGAGTAAAGAGAAGARAKAGTGGGTATTTTTGGAGAGAGAGAATATCAAAAGTATCAAATAATTGATACTTTTGAAGAGAAAAATGGTGTGTTTTTAATAATTTTATATTTAAATAGAGTATAAAATTAATAAAAGTT